TGATATGGACATCATATTTGATACCGAATACGTGCATTGTGATTTTGAAATTGGTTCCCTGCAAGAACGAGAAAATGAAGACACTTGGCTTGAAATAGCTAACTTGTTGTTATTACCTGCTTTCGCTGTAACATATCGTGTTACATGTTACAGGGCTGGAATCAAAGACGAAGATATTTCAAAATTCGATTTTGTATGATTTAATACAATGCTTATCCTTGAATGACTTATTTCAATATCTGTAAACGTACCTCGTTTGTTTTTATTACCCGATATTCCTGTTTCACGACTGGAAGGAAGAAGTCGTATATTTTTCATTTTTCATAATTTTCAGTTCAACTTCCCCAGCAGGTACATACAGGTATGGATTTTCATCTCATTGAAACAATATCTGACGGTACACATGTTGAAACAAAGATTTTTCATTTTAAATATAATCGATTTTTTGACAATAGCAGTGGTATGATACTTCACAAATGCCCACGTATAAACGTCGCTGATGCGAATATGTAAACAAATGGAATCATTGTTGTCATTACATCCATCATTTTTTATTTCAAATTAAAAAAACCTCCTGAAATGTGTGTCAAAGTGTAATTAGTCAATGAAAAGATATTATTTTTGTGCCACACTTGTACGAAAAGTAACGCATTTCAAGTCAAGTATTCTATGTTTTACAACAAAAATAAGCGCTGGCGAGCCTATAAAAGAGTTACCAAATGAAAGTATGTTATAGCTATGATAATTGATGCCCGTATTTGTAACGCAATTAATATAGCCCCATGTTTATATACAACAGTACAGTTTACTGATATGCAAAGGTCCACTGATCGGGTTTTGGTCAGCCCAACTACCTTATAGTGATTAACCATGGTTTAAACTTCAGTTCAAATTTTCCAGACTTTATATTTTATAAAAGTATTTCGACTAAATCCCCCTTCACGCCATTAACCTTCATTTGTGTTTAGCACACCTTATATTACAGTGTAACTGTCTGGTTTTCACGTGTTAATTACAACATATGTTGAAGAGCTGAAACACCTGTGTTTGCAATTTAGAGTTCAATCAGCTCACAAAAAGACTGTCGCTTCACATCGATATGGCGAAGACTTTATAACCAGGCCAGGCTTTTGATTTAATCGAGGATAAGAATGTGAGTCCTACATAGAGTAAAATAACTCAGGGTATGATCAGGTAATGATTAAGTTAAATAATGAATGGAATCCTGTACAATAGATAAATTCGAATATATGTATATAAATTAACTTAAAACATGACAATCAAAATTTTTAGAAATATAGCAAAACGTTCTTTTCCCTGCTACATTGGAAGGGTGATCGAATGTGTATATATTTTATAGCAGTTACTACAATTATCGTGTTCGGGCTGCCATGTATAATCGAGAGACCCCTGCTGTATTAGCCAGTATTTTTTAGCCCTCTTATCCACCAAATGCCAACACCGCCTGAAGGCTTGGTTAATTTGCTGTCAAATACACCCATAATGTGTTAACTATTGCGTGGTCGTTGAGAGGCATATGTGTCGTCCATGCCGCCTCTCCAACCTCTATCTAGGCAGATTAAAACCGTGGGAAATTATGTATTGTATAGAAATCAAATTTTCTTACCATTTTAAGATACAAATATAGAAGTTGGAAGCAGAATGGGCGCGATCAATATTAATCTCGATTATAAACAATTGTTTTATGAAAATATAGGGAAGCTGAATAAGCAATTATAAATATATATCCAATTCTGGTCCAGATATGGACATATTTCTTATGGCCTATCATGTTTGTTTCAAAGTGTTGATTGTACATCACACAATGTTTGGCATTCCTGTTTATGAAACATGTTATCTAAAATATATGGTTACTAAAATAATTTTCATCACTTTCCGCTGAAACAAATTCAATAATTCATCGGTATGGTTTTATGTAAGAATAAACAGTTAACCTTAGAATCCTGAATAGTAGCTAGGAAAATATCCGGCTAAAACCGTCTGACCATTCCCAACTGACCATTCCACCTAAGTTTGACCAGCAGACCAACAGACCAGCCAGGTTCACAGTATCAGCTGACCGCTCTGACCGAGGTGTTTTGCTCGCTCGCCTCTGACCACAAGCGCGTTAAATTGACCTACCATGCAAATTAATTTTGCCTTATTAGTGCTTGCTCGACCCCCGTCCTGATTAGACTGTGGCTGAGTAGACCGACTGATAAACTAGTTAGTATCATGTCATTGTCTACATTTTCCCTTGTCAATAACCACCGCAGGCTTGTTCATTTCCTATTCAGTGCAAATACAGCGCCTCCGTGGTTGCAGCTTTCATGTACATTTCAACGTGGATTTGTATATAGCTTGTACATGCACATTTAACCTCATACAAATAATTCATTTCTCATTGGGCATGAACGCTGTATTTATTTGGAAATGAGATTTAGTTTCAGCTTTATGCATACTGAGGAGTAATACCCATTTATGTTGACAAATTTAACATTGACTTGAGTTTCACAACAATGACCATAAAATTCACAACTTATATAAACAGTTCGTTCAATAACTGATTTAACACAAATGGATATGTTTAAAATTACAATGTTTGTACAATACTGAGCTTATATTACCAGAACTATTACATACATATAGCCATGTGGATTTCTTCGTAACAGCTGTTGATACGTATTCGTCCCAGGACAGGGCAGTTTTAAGAGGTTAATTAAATACACGTTGTCTGAAATAACTTTACAAAGATATATTAAATATTGACCGAGTTCACAATGTTTTAGGGCCTATTATTTTATTCACAGTAAGGTCTACTTATTTTTGACATAATTAAATCAGTTCATGGTCTAAAATATTGATCGTAGTTCGCGACCAGTGTAAAGGATTTATTTATTGGTACATACCTACAACCTGGTTATAAATCAAATCCATTAATTTCCACATGGTTCAAATCTATTAATTTCCACAGCTGCCTATAAAGAGCAAAATGTACGCCAGCTCTAGAAGAATTGACTTGATAAAGCTAGACGCATATTTTGCACATGGGGCAGCGTCCAAGATATGACACATACCGAAATTGTTGTTAATATCAATCTTTGATATAAACCATTTGCTACTGAGTTATCAAATTTAACGATATCTGTTCGCGTTTTTTTCGAAAACATCAAAAGGAAAACGCAGATGTTCCCGATTTATGTTTTATAAATGTGTCACCAAATATACTTCAGCAATACATTCCAGCTAGTTCTCATTGTGTTTCTCTTCACACATATAGCGTCTGGTGTTCACATCTGTTATTTTTTGTTGTTTACGATAAGAAAAGAACATGCGGGGACAAAATCGATATCTGGATGTCGCTTGTTGGCTATAGGTACGTTTCTACCTTACAAGTGAGATGGAAGCTCTCAGTGTGGGGCAACTCTGTAGCGTGACCGAGTCCGTGATAAACAAGCTTGACTGAGCAAATACCCCTTACAATATTTCCTTTTACTTTTAATGTTTTACTAACAAACGAAATGTATGTCAAACTACAATAAAAATGTCAAACAACTGGGCCCACCAGTCAAACACAGTGTCCCCTCAATGTCACAAAACAATTAGACTGCCAAACCTGACGGCACAGAGATTGGCATTAATTAAACCATTAATTGATAAGAACATGGACTGTTTAAACAAAATAGATAATACAAAGCAGTAATGAAGTTTTAGGACCTTAAAAATGCTGCCTAATTTTAGCACTAGTTCATATGAAAACTAATGCTGAACACAAGTGTTTCAAATATATCAACTATTTATTTCTCTTTACTGTGTTTATTTATAAACAACGATAAACCCGGCATCCTTCAATACAGAAGAAACTGCGAAACTGAAAGCATTTAAATACAAGAGCAAAATCCATTAAATTACAACCAACATTTTCACAATACATTTTCTAGTCTTCATGACAGAGCTTCATGAATGCTACTTTATAAATGTGATAAATACTTTCAACTGAAATTTGAAAGATTATGAAAAACTACAGGGATTGTCACAAGTGCACACCTAGACCAAAAAACAATTACCAACCTCTAAAGTATTTTATAAAAAGAACCCTCCCATGATCCGGATTTTTGACTCTGGTGTTTTTATCTAGTTCAGGGTTTGTAAACCCCTCCAAACAAGAAATATAGCTTAGCCACGTACTTGAGACACATGCAGGTTACATAACGATGGTGCGTTTGGCAGACGGCAGTTTAGAGAGCCATGTATGAGCGCACCTTGCAAAGCAAACATCCTTAACCCTCACACAGATCTAATACTTTGGTCCCCCGACATTGTGGTATTGACATTTCACTGCAGACCTGTCCATCATTTCAAGGAGAGAACGGGACAAAATGAATTTTTATACTTGTGTAGATTTGGTGTAATAGGTTTTAATCCCGAGAGCTATTCCGCCGTTTGTCTCCCGCCTATGCAAATTAACCTAGAGTGACCTCGTTCTGAACCAATGCTCCACCTCGTGCAGACATCACACCACGGTCGGGCAGACGACAGAAGAGAAGGGGCGAGATTCTACGTGAAGTCGTCTGCTTTCACCCGCCACCGCTGTACCTGCTCTAAAGGGTGTGCAGACGATCTACCCGTTCGGTGAAGCAGTATGCGGGTGTATTTGGGTAAATAATCACCTCTATTCATCCAAGTGGGGCTGGGGTTACGACAGAAAGACTGTCTCGACGATGGGTCAGCCAATTTCGTGCGCTGAATACGGGGAGAGGGTGTAAGGCAGACCCTACCGCTGTTATGTAATCAGTCAGAAATGCATTTCATCGCTCAAACTATCACTTATTGAACAACCATGAAAGAAGCCGCTGGCCCGGACTGCTCTTTAATGCATAGGGGCAGGGCCGTTTCTAACGGTAAACAAAAAGTTTGCAAGACCCAACGGTACCAACTTAGCAACTATGTTTAGGTTCCTAATGACAAGCATGAATAGCAAAATGTCTATGTATACTCACCGGCGAAGGGAAGCGCGGAGCAGCGAGCATGTCCTCGGATCCAAACTCTCTGCTCTACTTCTTAGCAAATTAACAGCGGTAAAGACGAGCTAGCGCGAATGTGCATAATTTACTACCGTTAACTGGGTTTGCAGTTAATAAACGGCGTTTCTATACGTAAATAGCGTTTAGATAACGACGGACAAAACGTGAGTGGTATTGTCCTTAACTCGGCCGTCGTGACGTAATAAATGGGCAAGGAGAACAGGCAATCAGATTTAATCACACGAACGGTAGTAGAGGGGGTTGTCTCTTTCGCAGCTGCACGAACGGGTTAACGAAAACTTGTCAACGGAAACCCCAGTATAGCCGAGGTGGATCAAAGCTGCTTTTAATGAGAAATTCCGAACTTTACGCTTGATGGTATCTCAGATGGTTAGAAGCCTGCAAATGTGGCATTCTTTTCTTGTCTTTGACGGGTTTGAATTTTCGTTGTTGAACGGTACATTTTAGTTGCACGTAGACACGCCATTGTTACGTATTATTTGTTGATTAAATGTTTGTGAATTGTTTCATTAAATGACCATGTTCACCTTTCTGGCTACCTTGAATCTCAGTCGCCAATTTGTCGGTCCTTTTTGAAAGAAATGTGAACATCAAAATACGTTTGCCCTGGTTACTCCCAAGTTAGATTTTATTTTTCGTTTTTCTTTTCAAGCTTAAATGACGGTTATGTGATATTTTCAGTCCAAGATGTTGGTAAACGCATATACACGCATTCCAAGGTGATCAACACACCTAGGGCAGTATAAGACAGCATTTAAAAATATAACTCGATGCACACGCGCTGGGAACAAACAAACATGACTCGTGAGGAATCTCGGGGTACAGTTCCACCACCTTAAAACACCTACGATTAACCCCCACAAAAGGTGTACAGGTCAAAACCTTCCCAAATTGACTGGAATAATCATCTAGTGAATGAGAGAGACCGGAAATGCAGGATGAGGGTTTCTATTTTCGAAGCTAGGGCGGGATGCACCGGTTGCACGCAACCTGCCTTCGCTGTTTTAACCAGATTGATCAGAAAGCTCATTTTCCGTACTTTCCCATAGACAAGAGTATACATTACACTCTCGTGCTGACGTAACGCTTCCTAAGGGCTATGTAACGTCAGGCAATGGAGAATGCTTGCTGGGCCTTTTCTTTTGCGATCCTCCGTCGTTTTTAAGCAACTACAGAAATGGGTGAATGTGCTTCATTTGACAGTGTTTTAATTCTCTGGAGAAAACATCAAAGCGCGGTCCCAGGTGCCGACCAGCGAACAATGCCTTACGAGGGATGGGAGGGGGTGTTGAAGCGGTCGTAAATGACTCGATTCTTCATCGTTGCGGCTGCTGCAGTAGAGGCGGGATGCTCTGGTCGGAGATTGCCGAGATGCGAGGAGGTGTGAAGTGATGTTCGTAGTTGTCATTTGGTCAATGATGAATAGCAGTTAACTGCTTTCATCCATAACGTGTGCCTGTAACACTATTGTATGATTTGAAGCTAAAGGGATGCATCTTGTTTAATTATTTCATTTTCCTTTCGCGGAAATGGTCGTTTTATTTCAAAGAAAGTAGCTCTCCACAGAAAACAATCCAACCAAATATTTGTACCTAAATTCTGAAGGAGATTAGGGCTTCTTAATAATATGTCGGTAATAAACATATATGAAGCGCACATTTAAACAGAGAGGGCAATATTAGATACCGTTCCACGGTATCTTCAAACGATGATAGCTGAAAAACACAACTTTTCTCGCTAGTACCCAAGACATTATCTATTCTATAGTAATTGCTTTCAGCCTCATTTACCAGAACATCAAAACAGGATGCTTTTCGGTGCCTGGTTAATTCATGACTTCACCTTAACGAAACGTTGCAGTTTGGCGATTCAGAAGAAAACGTGTGTCATTACGTTATTAATATTAAGAAAAATGCCTTAACATCCCATCGCATTTCCATATACACCTAAACAAACACCAAAGCGCCATAAGACGTAATTACGTCAACGTGACGTAACAGTATGACGTTTACATTTTCACGTCACAGCGAATTACAATTTCAAATGCAGCCCAAAGTTTCGGATATGCAAATCCAACGCGCCCATCCACAGCTGGTAGAGCTACGACGCACCAGATGGGCATTTTAGTTTTCGAACTCGCTGCTTATGAATTGCGCAAACGGCTGTCGTGGTTCTTGGATCTCTCGGTACCGTACTGGCGAGGCGTGGGAACTCGCTGACAACTCCAGGGTACATGCGCTTCCTTAATGCCATTTTTCATTTGGCTGCCAATCTACTTAAAGTTGTATAAAACTAGATTATTGTTCCCGTGTTTGGTCGTTTTTTTAATGCCCTTTGATATTGTGGTTTTTGATATTACTTTGTCGCGTGGTGTTAAACTAGTCAAGTGCTTTTATGTCGAAAACCTGAAAATTTCCATTAATTTGAAAAAGGGAATGATCACTTTATTCACGGTCGAAGCCACCACGTTTGTCGTTTATGAGTTAACCATGAACATGTTATAAATTTGCCTGAAAATTCTCTGTGTGTACGCATGTTCATACCGTCTTCCCTTACAAACCGCAATATTTGGTTGTCAGGAAATTGAAAACTGTAACAACAAAATTTTTTTTGCTATTATTTAAAAAAAGACGAGCTTGAAACATGCTCAAGTATATGTTTTCAGTACAGTTGGGCGGTCGTTTTGAAAACTCCGTATATGAACAACGTTAATAGTTTGCGTAATTTCAATATTGAAAAATATTGCACAAATCACACAAAAAGCATAAATGGAAGAAAAAATGAGTGACCTCCTTAAATAATATACATGTAGCTTAAAAGATCCAACGTATATTATATAAGCGGCATCAACACTGTACAGTACAGTCGCTTATGTCAAGCAAAAAGATCCCTTGAGCCGACTTTTTATGCGGGACAAGTGTGCCTTTACATGCATATGGTTAAGTCATTAGCCCTCTGGAAAGTGCATATGGCGAAGGCTGTAAAAACAATATGTGCTTTAGCAAATACACAGTCTTGCATTCAACGACGGCCGTGCAACCATCATGTTGCCAGAATCTCTTTATCCGTTTTGAAAGGAAAGAAAGTATATTTGTCTATGGTCGTTGGATAGGAAGGATGTCGATGACATTAAGACTTGTAGAAACCATTATCAATGTTTGAAAGTCGGTTAGATTTACATGTAAAGTTACACGTGTTATATTCTAAACAATGGTGTCAAGGTTCGTACAACACTTGCTTCCAACGTGAGGGGCCATTAAAAATTGAGACATCGATCATAAGACTCTGTTGGAACCATATTACCATTATGATCTGATGAGCGGCAGATTGTTTCAGAATAGAAGATGTAATTTTAAGTGATATAACAAATAAAAACAAGTGATTTGCCTAATTTCTTATAATTCAATAGTCACTTCAAATGTAATATAATGTAAAAATATTATCAAACCGTAGCATATGTCTAATTCGTTTGTTAAAAAACTCGATTTATTATTTCTTCCATTTGTTTTAATTAAACAAAATATATTTTCATAAAATATTCTACATATTAAGAGGAAAGGCAAGTTCGGCGTGATCACTTTTTTTTTATGGGCATGACGCTCTAACGAGCTGTTATGTTTAAAAGCCAACATTAACCTGTAGCAGCGTTGTCCCAGTATCATGTAAGGGGCTGTTAAGTTTCTCAGCGAACCAGAACCGTTTAAGTCGCCGAACCGTAGACAGAACCTGCCCACAGAACCATCCCTCTAGGTAGCTGATCTGTTATAACACACAGGCGTTTACCTGGTGATGTGGGATCTGCTTATGAAATCAATTCCAAAATAGACCTTCCACAAAATATTGCAGATCAGAAGTAGCGGGATAATTCGAGACAAGTTTTCACCTCATTTGCTTCAAAATCACCCATCAAAAGACTCCACCATCATCAAAGTTTAGAATATATTTCAAGCTGGGACTATATTTTTTGCAGCAGGATATGACCTAGACGTGCGCTGCGGTTATTTGAGTGCAGCAAAGATGCTTACCTACTTGGGAGCTACTGATATTGCGGGTGTCGGTAACGAGAACTTGGAGATTTGCATCACGGATCCAAAGCTAGGCGACTTACCTTCATCTCTGATGGCTGTGGTACTGTTTACATCAGAGGGTTGCTTGCTGTAAGATGTACTAACACCTGATTCAACTCAACTTCACAATTAGTGTTCAAACCAACTTAATATAAATATCACTTATTAGTTCACGTGTCTGACAGAGATTGTGTATATATCCTAACGATCCACTACACGTTGGCCGTCTTTCTCATTTCACCGTTCTAAAAGTGATATATTTTAAGTTTATTTTGAATGTACTCATGACCCTATCCTGTCGGTCGTAACTTGTTTTTTTTTCTGTCGGGTAATTTGCATTATGAAACATTTTGAGTCAGAAATTCCACTTTTAGCATCAGCCTTCGTCTTATGTCATGACTTTCGTATCTAAGAAATAATTTTTGCATGAGCGTTTGACACACGTAAAGTTTTAACGTACCCGTGGATGTTATGCTATTAGCAGATTTATTGCCTGTTGCCAACTACTGGTTCAAGAAGACGCTCATCGTGATCACGGTGCTCTGCATTTCTTCAATCTAATAAATAAATTCAGAATACATATTTCCATTTTTATTGTAATTTTATTAGGAAACTACATTATTATTAATAGCTACCACAACATTTTCGGTAACTGCAGTCAGCTGTCTGAACGATGGCTTCAGCGGACATATTCAGTATCTTACAAAGGTAAATCGCCATTTAAACATCATGGGGAGGAGTTTTTTAATGTAACCGGTGTTCGTTTGATCCGGATACTTCATGACGTAATACCTTCAAGCACCACGATCCAAACACGTATGCCTTTGTTTCCACCACCACTGAAGCCGACGGCTTGAAAATTCGTTAAGATGGTGTTCAGCCTTAAACTGGAAGAGAAACATGTTTGCCATTGTAAAACCATTGTAGTCAACTGAGCTATTGTTTTTAACCGAACTGTAATATCTATTATCGCAAGCTTTCCTGTAGCGTCACACTAACGTGTAATACAGGCCTGCCATTGCTTCCAACAAAAATAGTGGTATCAGTTGCCCAACAAAGACTTTTTGAATAGGACGAAGTGTATTTCCCCTGTCAACTTAT